AATTGAGGTGACTACATTTTCACAGAAGGTATTGAGTTCAAACGGTATTCAAAAGGCCTTCGTTTTTTGCTCAGAGTGCGTAACACACTGAAAATCCTGAATGCTGAATATTATTTCATCTGGGCCGAAACTTCGAAGATTCATAACTCGGTCAATTTTTATCGGATTGGACTCATATTTTTACACAAGGTCACTGACTCATAGATCTACAACTTTGCTTCAAAAGTCGAGACCAAATTATGCACCGATCAATACCAGTTTTTTATTGAAGAACGTGTCAGAGTCGACACTGGAGCCCAAAATAAGTTTATCTGAGCTGAAACTTCAAAAATTCATAACTAATTCACCGTTTATCCGATTGAGCCGATTTTCGGACAGGAGTTAGTTCTCGATGTAGGCTACATTTTGTTTTCACATTTCAACTTCAAAAATTGCACTTAAGTCCCTACGATTTAGCCTAGAAAGTGACGAACTCAAGTGAACATTGGAGGCCCAATTGCACATTCAAAGCCCATTTTCTTTACCCTAATTTCCATTATATAATCACCTTCTTTTCACACAAACCAGGGAGGAGAAAAAAGAGAGAAAAAACCTTGCCACAACACTGTTAGAATATCAAATTCTTTCAAGAACCCTAAAACCTTGAAATCCTTATTACAAATCCCTCTCTCACTACAAACAAGCAATCTCAGTTACAAACCAACATCTCACTACTTCTTCAGTAAGGGTAAGGCTGGCTTGATCTCCATGATCAAAAGGGCATAAAAGCATTCATGTCACTACTTTTCTAGTAAGGGTAAAGTTGATTTGATCTCCATGATCAAAAGGGTATAATCATTCATACATGCCATATTGTGCCTAAACATTAAATTTCTTCATATATTGGCTTTATTTGCATTTTATGATTTTATTTAATGTGTTCATGAGATTCAACACTGCAGATTTAGGCAGGATCCCATGCAGGTTCATTAATGAACGTTGAGGCCAAAACACAAATGGCCAAAAGCCAAAAGTCAAATGGTCAAAAAAGAACAACTTATGCATGACACCAATACATGGCGAGACAGACATCCTGAGAAGATTAAGGAACGTTGAGGCCAAAACACAAATGGCCAACGGCCAGAACACAAATGGCCAACAGCCAGAACACAAATGGCCATGAAACCCAATCCAATGGCCAAAGAATGCAGACCACGGTACTCAGGAGTCAATGAACACGCACGTGATGCCAGAAAGTCAAACGAGGCTTTTTGTCTAATGGGCCAAATTGCTTCCAAAAAACCTCCCTTTGGGTCTGAATACCCCCCATGGTTTGCATTGTTTTTGATTTCTATTTGATTTTCTTTTAATTCTTTTAATGTTTTAATTATTTCTTTTAATTCCATCAAATAATTTTCATAATAAAAATAAAACACAGAAAAATCAAAAAAATGTTTATTGTTATTAATATTAATTTCACCATTATTTTTGTAAATAAACTTTAAATAATTAATTAGATTAATTTAGGTTTCAAAACTTTAATATTTTTCTTAACAAATTAAAATATGTAGAAATTAGGGTTTTTAACTTTTTATCACTTTTCTTAATAAATAACTTTTTCTTATTATTATTATTATTATTAATTACTAATTTATTTTGTAAATAAACATATACATAAATATTTTAGTAAATTAGGTTAAACTTTAATATTTTTCTTTAATAATTAAAAATAACTTAGAATTAGGGTTTCTTTTAATTTTAATTTTAATTTTCTTATTCCATTAAATACCAAAAACATAAAAAAACATTTCTTTTCTTTTAATTAAATAATTCATTAACCTTTCATTCAATTTAATTTCAAAAGGGTCCAACGCCCTCGAACGTTCAATTTTTATGTCGTTTCGCATGTTATTTTATTTTCCTTTGTGAATATTATGTAATTGCTCAAGCCTTGTAATAGTAATTAGGAATTTATTTACTTTCCGCATTTTTTATTCAAAACGGGTCTTTGTTAATTTGGCGATGTATAGACCCGCGCCTTGTAATAGCGTAGAATTTTACTTTCCGCACTTTAATTTCCGCACTTTTAAACTGCTAACTTGCATGAAAGAATGAATGACTAATTAAAAACAATGCGTAGATCACCATGATACATGTACAAGATAAATGCTAAACTGAAAATAACACACAAATTCACACACCACTCTTAGGGTACGCCTCACTGTTGCCTTGCCTTCGAAACGTGGTCGTCGAGTATAGGACGTTTTAGTAAGTCCTTATGTCCATGACATGATCCAGTTGCCTCGAAACGGTTGCCTCGGAATTAAAAAGGATCAATGGCATAAGGGTAGCTTCTAAGGTGTCCTACTGTTGCTCTGGTGACCACACTGTCCCTACAAACGAATTGACCCGAACACCTCCAACGGTGGTGCTACCTACCTCACAATGGTGGGATGGCACTACCTTAAGGACATTTACACAGCCTAATTCCTTAGGGTAGGTGGATGACTCATAGATACTTGCTCTAAAAAACAAATCAAAACTCTTTTCACACCGACACTTTCAAAAAAAAAGCTTTCAAAACAATTTTTCAAACACTCTCGAGGACAGATACAAGAGTTATTCAGAAATCTTTAAACGAAAATTTTTCAAACTCACTCACATTTTGAAAAGCAAACACTTTGAAAACATAAGAGCAAGTATCTAAGAGCCCATGGATAACCATGGATAGAAAGGGTACTAACACCTTCCCTTTCTATAAATCCACCTCCCGAACCGAGAAACTATCTCATAAGGAATTTTGCTGTGCTTTTGTCCTGTCCATGTTGGAGAAAATAAAAGACGGTGGCGACTCTTGCTTCCGCGACATTTTGCGAACCAGCGTTAAACAGTCAGTTCCAGATCCACCGATCACACCTGGGTCCCGAAAAGACCGCGTCCTCGTCCGCCCGCACTTCACGCAGCACATCCAGGAAGGCGACCACATGCGGGTCTCCACTACACACGTAGAACCTGGCAGTTCCTTCATTGGGCAAACTTGCCCGGCCCAATGAAGGGACCTTGGCCCAGCGCTGGGGGCTATAAATACCCTCTGTTTCCAGAGGGTCAGGTATTCATCATTCTACCCATACTCTTACTATTGCCTACTCGTGCTCTTACTCACTTCAGCATCGGAGTGTCTTGCAGGTACCCCCCCACCTCGTTCAAAACTTCAGCTCGGAGCCAGCCGTGACGGTCCAAGTCTGATCAGGTTAGATCACCTGTGCATAGGAATTTGATTGTATTCATAGTAGTTGACTAAATTATCCATCAAATATCGATATTAGGAAAGGGGTACAAACCTCTGGGGAAAGCTCGATTATGGTTAGTGTAATCAACACACATACTTCTTTTTACTTGACACCTTTTTGACGAAGACAATGTTAGATATCCATTGAATGTATTTAAAATTAGTGATAAAATTGGTATAGATTAAATAATAAATTGTACTCCTAGTGTGTTATGCTTTTTCATAAGATTATCATCCCCTTCTTTGGAATACAAATTTGATAAATACATCGATATTTACCTGATGGCATGCCACACAAGGATCAATATGCCATCTTGTTTGGTGAAATCACAAAGAGGTCGACACCTCTTCTTATTAATTTTGAAAGACCACACCTATATTGACTGTCATGGTTGGGTTTTCTTCGAGTTGTAAGACTTCAAATTCTCTATTTGGAATTGGCCTCGAGGTCTTCATCTTTTCCCCCACCTGGTTGGGTTCATCATCTGGTATGGTCTTATGCGCATGTGCATCGAAATCATTAATTTTTATGATATGGATAAAGGCCTTCCTCACTCTATTTTCTAGCAGGATAGGCAGTTGTCATTGAGTCTTTTAGCAGCGTCTTTTGTATCAATAAGGCTCAAAGTAGTTCAACTATGATGGTAACCAGTTCGCCGTTGACATTTGGTATTTTATCTTCAAATGGGCGGTTGAAGCTATCATGTCACGTGTTGCAAAGAAATGTCTTCCTAGGATGCAACTATAAATGTTTTCCAAGAAATCACCAGGAAGCATACATTTACCATCATTTTGTCCTCTCTAATTTCTCTAAAAGAAAATGGTAACTCCATAGTACCACAAGGATGGGTTATGGAATCATTGAACTTTCTGAGATCCATGCCTTTGTAGGATGATAGGTTCACTTTGTGTAATCCCAAATCCATGAAAAGGTTGGGGGATATGACATCGCATGAGCTTCTTCCGACAATCATGACCCCCGATATTATGCAATTTGCTGAGAAGCACTTTTGGTGTAGAAGTTCGTCAGAACTAGAAGTCGATTCCCACAAACAATGCAATTTCCCTATTGCGAAACGATAGATCAATTATGTGGTAAGGAAGAACTACTTCAGTGTTGTAATATGATCCTCTGATACGGTGGAACAGGGTAGTCTTGTAAGATTAACACTCCAACGTCCAATCCAGTAAGGTCAAAGAGATGTAACTTGCTAGAGTAAAAAGAATGAATATCTATTATGGCGTATGACACTTTTTACACATGGTGAATGTAACACCCTAAAGCTCAACTTCTTTATTTATAAAAACATGCGGCTAGTTTTCTCAAATGGTGTTACACATTCTCAACATACTTCTTTACTCAACCAAATTATAAAACATAACATCATAATTAACTCAAAAATAACATCTTTAATTGTATCAAATTGTAAAATACTTCATTAAAATAAATATTTCAAAAACTCATAACACAAACAGAAACATGCAATCCATCCCAGTGCTACACTATCAGAGCGAAAACATAACTAAAAAAATTGAAAAGCAGTATATAATGTAGAAAGCTACTACACCGTCCTCTAACTCAACAACAGCTAAGGCTCCTCTACCTAAGTGTTTGTACCAAAGAGGTAAAGCATAACACAAAAACAAACAGGAGATGAGAATACATTCATAAACTTTAATGGCGTATAAAACAACAACGATATCATATATCAAACATATTCAGTTAACACCGATGTACAATATACAAAGTTCTAATGCAATGTGTATTTTCTCTAGTTCCATGAATATGGTACCTCCTACAACACTTGAATGAAGTCCTATAACACTGGATATCAGAGTTATGTTATTGAAGGATCCTCAACATTGGACCGAAGTCCTACAACATTAGACCAAAGTCTCAACTATCTCTGATATACATGATGTATGATATCATACTCCAAATTTGTTCGCCCTTTATTTCTACGGTCAGAACTATTTTCAACATTGGTTTTTATAATATTCTTTGGTTCAATTTTATTAATATTTTAACAATAATTTATTTCGCTCATTTAAAAAATGTATAATAGTTTATTTCAAATTATTTGTATTTTAAATATCAAGTACTTGTTCGCTTTCGTATACTTTCAATTAAGTTTTTTATTTCAAATGAGTAACATAACACAGTTGATAAGGAATGAGACTTGCAAGTATGAGGTCGTGGATCTGAATCTCTTGCGTTGCACTTTTAATAATTTTTTCTTCGGTTTTTTTATTATTAATTTTCTTTTATTTTTTAAAAATCAGACTTTAGACTTTTCAGAGTTTTGGATAACTTCTTTTTAAGTTTTTAAAACCTAATCTTAACTCTATAAGTTACAAAAACAGTTTTACAACATCTCAAACAATGCCTGGAAAACAAAAGTCACCGTAGAAATTGCAGGCAGAGCAAGAATAACACTGAAAACGCGACACCACTATCGAATCAGCACCAAGCCTCCACGAAGTGAGCAAAACCGCCGCAGCTTGGACATCAGCCACCTACGTCTCATCACGAGTCCGCCTTCAATGCAACCACAACTGCAAAACCGCGTTTAACCGTTGCACCATACACCGACGTCACCCTCTGCACGCACAAAGCTTCCGCTGGTCGCACTACTGCAGCGGACCTCCGATCCACCACCAAAATCACCGACATACACTCCCGCTGCAGTGCGTGTGACAGTATGCGCCCATTGTGTTGCACCAAACCAAAAACATCCAACAACCATGCAGAATCCGACCGCCTCCTCAAACCGCGAAACTCTGTCACAGATCCGACCGCTTCAACCGCGAATCCGATTCTGACAGCCAGCCACACATCAGACCATTCGTCGCCGCATCGCTTCTCTAAGCCGCGTCACCTGGAGCAAATCCGCCACCGGTAATATTTCAACTAAATTACTTTTGATTGTTATTGTTAAGTATTGTGGTGCCTATAATTTTTTTAGCATATTTGAAAATTGAATGAGAAAGGAGGTGAAGAGTATAGTGTTGGCGAGAAAGAAAGAGATTATTGTTATTTGATTTACCTCTTTCTCTTACTACGTTAGTGTTTTAGTTTTATTTTTCTAAAGAAATAAAGATTGCCACATGTTTAGTATTCATAGGTCAGTTATTAACAAGGAAAAGTCCAAGTTAATTGATTTTGTTGTTTTGAATTTCATAAGGGCTGCTAAAGCAGCTACCCTCATTGCTAACTTTTTTTTTTTTTTTTTTAATTTTTATTTTAGATTTAATGTTAATTAATGTATAATTTCTTTATTTTTAATTATTATGTCTTTAATTATGTGTTAATATGTGAAATAGAATTAGGGTTAAAATAATGGGCCTTGGATCGTTTTTTACACTTGTGCTAATTCACCTCCTCTTGATCTTTTGTACTCCTGACTATTTAGCTTAATATTATTTAATTAATTTAATTATTAGGATTTTCATCTTGTTTGGTTATTAATAAATAAAATTATAATATAAAAACGTTAATAATTATAAAATACTAATATTATTAATTCCCCTTAATTATTCGATTTAGATGTACTAGCCTTTTTCATACAAAATAAGATGTGCATCTTTTTAAATTAATTTGTACTTATATCAAACTTTTTTCAATTAATTAATTTAATATTTTATAAATATATTACTAAAATCTGTTGTCTAATTGGGTAAAGTTTAATTTCTGAACTTGAACCCTTACTACTTACACACCCCTGTGTTTACGACTAAACTAAGTTTACACTCCCATCTGTATTTTAGGCTCAGTTCAATATCTGAACTTGAGCTCTCACTTGCCATACTCTCTTATTTGACTACCACGTTGTAAAACGCACCCCTCATCCAATTTAGGCTCAAAATATCTTCGGATGCATATTTTCTTCTAATACACCACTTAGTCTTAATTTTGCACCTCTGTGCATAAATATGACAAGTTCAAATTCTGAACTTGGACCCTTAATATCCTCACCCCACTGTGTCCTACCATACTATTTATCAATGAAACACTTAAAATAGCTAACCAACAATCAAACTATTTTTCTACTAATATAATAAAACCCAAGTCATTTTTGAAAAAGGATTAAATAAAATTACTTTCAAAATTAACTGCGAAATGCGTCTACGATCACTCAACTTACAACCCAGACAAGGTTCAAGGATAATTCAAAATCAATTCTACACAATCCTATAAAAACACCAACCAACAACTACAAACTACGAATTGAGACTCTAATTCCTCATAAGAGGATACATAGGCACACAACTTAAAAACTGTGGCGAGTTTCCCTAATTAAAATTAAAACCCTATTTCGTAAACCGTAAACCTAAATCCTAGTATCCTTCCGAACATGGTAGATGAAGGGTTCCTAACACATTCCCTTCGTCTAAAGTGAGTCAAAACTTAGAATCTATGTATCATCAATTAGGGTTATTCTGTTATATTCCTAACTTAGGATAAAAATTAACGGTGGCGACTCTATATTTTTAGTTGGTTATTACATATGATACTACAAACATATGCAAACAATCTCCATCCAAACCGCTTACTCCCATTATCACTTACCAATCATCACATTAGATCGAAGTCCTTCCTCACTAGATCTAAGTCCTACAACATTGGACTGGAGTCCTACAACACTGGTTCCTCTTTGAACCTAAAACTAAAAATGAACATCGGCAAGATAAGACCACAAAATTGGTTCCTCTCTGAACCTCAATATCAACATAACTTAACAATTTTCCTCTCCATGAGGCACTCAACATCAACAACCATTAACAAGGCCAGCTCATAAGTCAATGTAGCTCACAATAACTACTTTCACTTTTTAATCAAAAAGTTCAAGAGTCATCATGCGTACTCTAAGCTTAACTCATAACTCAACTCTAAACAAAATCAACTCAACACTAACCCGTTAGATAACTCATAACTCAACTCTAAACATATCAACTTTAACTATAAACACATTAATAACTCAAATTCAACTCATTTGATTCTCAAAGATAACTCTAATATATCAGTTAACTAAAAAATTAACTCTCGAATTATTAATAACTCAAATCATTTTAAATAACTCTAAATATACCAAATAACTCAAACTCCCCAAATTACTCCAAGGGTTTCCATAACTCTTGCCTTGACTCTGAAATAAAATCATTGCCATTTGGCAAGGGTTTCCTAAAACCCTCGCCTTAAACTCTAAAATTATCTCACGGAAATTGGAAAGGGTTTCCTTAACCCTCTTCTTAACTCTAACAACCATCAAAGATTTACAAAAATGACCGGGAAGCTCTAAAACATATCAGACTCAACTCTCTTAATTCAGATTGACTATGAAATTATCTAACTTCACAATAGCACAAAATATTATAGACTTATGATAAAATTATAAAACTCCCCAATTTAAAATATTTTAAACCCTCTTTCAAACAAAATTGAATGCATCTCGATGGGAGTTACGAAATCCAATTTTATCCGTTTCAGTTTAGCCATATCACAATATTTTCTGCATAAACTCTAAAACAGAATGCCTAACTTCATAATAGAATAAAAAATTATAGACTTATGATAAAATGAAACTCTTAAGTTTAAGTTATATTTAAACCCTCTTTAAAACACAATTGGTCGCATCTTAATCGAAGTTACGAAACTCCACTCCCATTAATTTTAGCTCATCCAGATCATAATATTTCCTACTAGTCATACATCATATTTGAACAATTATTTAAAATATCAAATAGAATCAGAATCAAGCAAATGAATATGTTACGAAAAGTTTAAACTGTCTATTATAAAACTATTATTTTTATTTTAATACATAAGATCTCAATCTTAACATTTTAATCAAACAATAGGAACTGGTGCAGACACCAGACAAAATGTTTGCTTTTAGCCATACCTCAGGTTTGAACAATTCTTTAAGATATCAAACGAATTCGAAATCAATTAAATGAATATGTTTCAGAAATATGATAATTTCTATTTTCTTATGATATGAAGTTTACTCTTAAAGGACTTACGAAAAATCTAGTTATGTGTGAAACAAGACAACCAACGTGAGACATAAACTTGACTATGCTTCTGGTATAAAAATAGATAAATGTTATTGTTGTAGTGCTCCTAGACCTAATTTACCCATTTCAAAAGACACCTTAAATGGACTTACGAAACTCAAGTTAAACATGAAACAAGATGGTTAATTCCCTTCTATGACTATCTGCGTTTTTTTTTTTGCATTTTCCTCCCTATTGAGCAGATCCAAAACTCGCCTGTTTGAGTCTCAATTGCCTCCCCAATACACAGATAAACAAAAACACGAAAAAATATGAATCAAACATCATAGATTCACCAGTTTATCACATCAAACATCATAAATTCAGTATTTTATCACATTAACATCATATATTGGACATTTATACTCTAGCGAGAATAGGCATGCAGATTCATAAGGCATCAACATATTTTATTAATTCATAATTTTTATACTCTCACCTTATCATAAGGCGTCAACATAATTTATCAATTCAACTCTATGATCATAAACATAAAAAAAAATCAAGAATAGGCATATCGAGTTGCACCAATTTACAATCAATAGAGCACAAAATTCATAACTTACTCTCGCCTTATCATGAGGCATCAACATACTGTAACTTTTAATTCTATATTGTTTTTGATTGAAATTATGTTTGGTAAAACTAACTTAGCAGAAACCTGTTGAAATAAGATGTTTTGTCAATTGAAGAAACATGTTGAACGAGATGTCCTATGCAGAATCATTCGACATTGCACCTGTGTACAACTGGATAGTTGGATTTTTTAGTTTCTAAATATGGAGATAATTTAGGAAAATAATGATTGAAGTCCTATTTTTATGCAGAAGTTTCTACAGATTTTTAGCAGCTGATTTGCTGCATTTTTGAAGCCCAATCCAATCCAGAAGATTGCTTTAAATAGATTGCTACAAATCTAGTTTAAGTGTGGAACTTACATGTGTTTTTGTTAGGGTTTGTGTGTGTTAATTGTGATCCTCTCTAATATCATCTTGTAAAAGATTAGGATTGTTCTATTGAGTTATAAGTTTTGTCAGTTATTCTAAATCTTTTTAGTAGTGAATGATTGTGTGTCGTTGTTTACCGTGAAATTTGGTAAGCAATTGCTAGTCGTCCAAAATAAAAATAATTTTTGGTTACTCACAGGATCGACTAGATTGATCCTAGGACATATTTCGAATATCATGTTTGGTTTAATATTTCTAATTATTGTTCTATGTTGAAAAGATATACAACAAAGGTAAAAGTAAAAGAAAAAGTTTGAAGACAAAGGTAAAGGGTTTTTGAAGTAAAAAAAACTGGAAATGTAAAGTATTCGGCTAAAATCTTAAACAAAGGTAAAATATTTGATTTAATGTAAAAGAATTTGAATATCAAATGGTGTTTCAATACATACATTCCCAATGACTCTTTTCTCTAACACTTGTACTTCGAGTTTACATGTGTAATTTGTACAAAGTGAACACACTGAATCCTAATACAAAGATGCCTATTTATACTAATTCGACTCTAACGGTCTTTCTCTACAAGAGTGACACGTTCGAATCTTGCATGCCCCTTTTGAATTGTCATACTTCCACGCGTCCTTCTGGGTAAGATCAAATCATTTGAGTTCAAATTCCTCTTGGATTTGAATCATCAAAAAACCCACAACGTGACTTTTCGAATTATTTGAATTCGAAACTTGAAATATCTTGAGTCTTATGCATTCCGCAACAATAAAACTTCGATGATATCTAATAAATATCTTACCATAAATTGGTCAATCGGTTGAAGAGAATATCTCTCATATATCCTTTAAAATTAGTCTTTGATTGATATCCTTATTTCTCCTCTATATTATAAG